ATATATGCCTAGCAGTAGATTTCTCATAGACTTGCTTGGTCAAACTATTCTGTTCTCTGTAGGATCTTGGCTATCTTTCATTAGTTTTTCTTAGATATTTTATTTTTATGGTCTTATTTATGGTATAATATAACATTTTATTTGTAACTGCTTCTGACATACAGAAAAACATTCATTTGTATATGAATTTATCTTGGAACCAAATTCCCTCATTATTTTAAATAGCTTACTAATAAAATTTTTGTTGGAAATTTTGAATACACAGTTATATCCACAGAAAATGGTGGTTTTATTCATTAGCAGCCTTTTTATCTTGTAAATTGTTTCCTTCTTTAGTCCACGTGTAGGCCCTCCCTTTAATATTGAATAGAATGGTGAAGTGGATTTCTTTGTGTATTCTCTGTAGAATAGGACAGCTCTCCATATTTCATAATTTAATAGTAAGCTTTCTGTCTTTTCTGTAGATTCTTTCCATCAGGGGAACTAGGGGTTTTTTTTATTCCTATTTGCTAAGGCATTCTGTATTTGAAATGTGTTTAAATTTACAAAATGCTTTCTCTTCACCTATTGACATAATCATATGATTAGCCTCCTCTTTTTTTTAGTAAATATGATTTTTAAAAAATTGATTCATGTTTTGATGTTAAACAAACCTTGTATTCCCGTGAACAATTCAATGTGGTTATGATCATATGTATATGGTGCTGAATTTGATCTGCTTATATTGTGTTTAGGACATATGCTCTGATGGCATCCCACACATTTATCCTTTAGTTCTTATACCATTTCCTCCACCTCCCTCAAATAAGTCAACCCTAAATATGGCAATATGCTCCCCACTTCCTGTGACTGAATTTGCACGTGATGTGACTCCCTGTATTGGGTTTCCAAAGGACTTTTATGACCCACAAGATTAACCCACAGTGCTCTTGCAGAGTAGGGCTTGGGGAAAAGTGTTATCTTTTAAACAGTTCACAGGAATATCCCACAAGTCACTCTCAGGCACACATGCCATGATGGAATTCCAAAGTAGCTCTGGTGGCAGGAATAGAGGAAGGTGTGGACCAAGAGCACTGCTCCCTCTCACCTCTGCTGCCTCTGCTGTACATGCTGTTGTCATAAGCAGATAATGGTATTGAGCCCTTATCGAAGCTAACCACCCCATGTGGAGGCTAGTTTTCTACATCAGACCACTTCCACACTGAAAAGACAACAGCAGTTCTACCTTATTATAATTGCATGTGTGGTGCATAGAATTGTCTTCTCTGTCTGCAGTACTACCCACCAGATTACAGTATATAAGTCATAGGATAGCATCACTTTGAACCAAGGGATCAACTCTTTTTTTTTTTATTTGCAAAAAAAACAATATTTTATTGTTTATAATTTTGTACAATATGATAAGTTTTGTAACACTCCCCAATATGCATTGCAGGCTGATTAGTGCATGTTTGACAGTAATAAGTGGTTTGACGCCTGCCACCAGGTGTTTTCCTGTTAGAACACACAATGCAGTCCCGTTTTCTATCCCACATCGGGAATATGTAGTTTATTGTTTAATCCGACATAAAACCCGCTGACATTTCTTGTATATATCTTAGTAATTTTACGATATTTTGATTTAATTTCTTGTGCCATTTCAAGATAAAACTTCAGGGAAACATGCATGTCTCAAAAAGTTGCGTTGAAATAACTCAATTCCCCGTAATCACTAATAAACTGCAATGTCCCCTGAGAGGGGACAGCGGAGTGCAAAGGGTTAATCAATAAAACATATCCTAGGCTGATGATTTAAAAAACACACATGTAGACTGGAGATGAGCTATATCAGATATAGCATAATTGAACAACTTTGTTCAAACCGAGAGATTCCACCCTGCCAGAGGGTGCATACGCAGCCTCATGCCCTTTCTGTTTGTCTACATAGTGTATTAGGTGCAATGTCTTAAAAAATTTTTTTGTGGGTTTTTTTTTTGTTTAAAATTGCTGCCAATATTTTCTAAACAGAAGATTGTCTTCAAGTCAGAAGATTTGGCAAAACCCTGAGCCTACATCCCCCCAGGGCTACAATGGAACAGGGCCTGAGCTCTTTGATTCACCACAGTCCCTACCTCTCCCTGATGTCTGACACACTGGCCTGCTTATCTGTTTAAGTAACCTCCCTGGGTCCTTCAGGCCCTTGAGTCAGCCGGTTGAATCCTCATTGCTTGCTGACTGGGGAGCAAAGGAGATATGGACAGGTTGCAAGTAGGTGTACATGTACTACATGTCTTTTTAAATCCCTGATCTGGTCTCTCGTGTCTCCACTCGGCATTGCCACATTGGCTCTAGCTCACCAAGACATGGGCCTGAGCCTGGAGTCCACTCCGAAATGATAGTGCTAGTTATCTGCATGGGAAGGGATCAACTCTTATGATGAACAAGGTCAACAGTAGGCACAAGACCATGAGATCTACTTATCCTATTTTATATCACATGACAGAGAAATTGCAAGCTTGATGAGAAATTAAAATGGTCTCTTAGATGTGCAGCAAAGACACCAACTTAGAGGTGACATCCTGCTATATTATGTTCTGGATGTGGAATGTACCTCAATCCAATGGCCATTATATGGTCTGACATATATGTAGGACCACATATATCCATTAAAAAGTAGAACACATAGGTTCAAAAAATGATGGATGAAAGTTGGAGTGAACCTTCTCAAATTAACTCCCAGTGACACACTTGGGAATCTATGTTTCTTGTCTCATAATGCCTTTAGGCTCTCCTGGGTTGAAGGTCTTACTCCTCTGAAAGACACCTTTTTGTCAGGAGACACAACTATCATCTGGCCATTGTGCACTCCTAGAGAGCAGTTACTGTTTGGTGAGGGATTGTTATCTTGAAGGTAAGAGAGCAGAAAGAAATACATCTGGAACACAGGATTTCACTGGAGTGACTCGTGGTGGGTTCAGGCTCAATGACATTCATAAATGAGCAAGGACAGCAACCACAGCATGCCAATCAGATGTAACTGGGGCTCAGACCTACGTCTTTCAGATGTAGATGTAAGTGCCTTTGAGCAAGAACAGGAGACCCAGTCCTGGATCTGAGTCTGTTCATTATTAGCTTGTGACATCGCACAATGAATTGTTTGTGCGTTGTTGTTGTTGTTGTTGTTGTTCTGAAAATCGGAGATAATAATGTGGGAGGTGCTATTATGATGTTCAGAAT